TTTTTTTTTTTCCTTTTTTTTCAATTCAAGACCCTGTCTTGAATTCCTGGGAGTAAGTGTAAGTACTCGACGACGCGTACACAGTATATACACGCGCGCACTTTCGAGGAGATCGGGACAGAGGGAGGGACAATGGGACGCCCCGGCGGGGCTGATTTTATGGGCATTTGAAGAAGTCCCAACCTTTTTTTTTTTTTTTTTCTTTTCGGGCGCGTGGTATGTTCCGTTTGAGGACGCGTCGTACGCGAGGAAATTACACAATGAGATGGATCTGGAGGAGGAGGCCGCAAGTGGCGATGCTTATTTTTGGAGTTTGACTCAGTGCGCTCGGGTTGTATACACACGTACTCAAACTTTCGGTCTGAGGAGTGGTGTTATCTTTTTTTCGATACTCAATTAAAACAAAAAATACCGACTCGATATTTGTGTAATTTTTTTTTTTTTTCAATGTCTTTACTTGGATAATAGTAACGAAATTTCAATTTTTTTACGTTTTAACGAGGTTATCATTTTGAAAATTTATTTAGCTAATTACGTTTAGCTTCGAGTCGACCGTGAATATAGATACGACAAACGCGTGTCTCAAAATTAACTACCATATATATTTTTTTAACTCTCGAGCGATGATATTTGTATTTTTTGAAAAACCTAATTGGTATTTTCATTGCATTTAAGTGCATACGGTACATGAATAATTTTTTTTTTTTTAACTCTTGAGCGATGATATTCGTATTTTTTGAAAAACCTAATTGGTATTTTCATTGCATTTAAGTGCATACGGTACATGAATAATTTTTTTTTTTTTAACTCTTGAGCGATGATATTTTTCATTTTTTGAAAAACAAAGTTGGTATTTTCATTGAATTGAAGTGCATAGGTATAGTACACGGGCATTGGCGATGGTTGTTTTACATTTCGAGCTTGTGTGAATCGGCGCGATAGAAACATTTTCCTGCAAAAATTCATACGCATCTTTTTTTTTTCCCCCATGTAAGACCTTATTTGATTAACTGAATTGACTGAAATCCGACAAGTTCGTACTTGAAGCCTTTTTTTTGGAGGGTAAAAAATAAAAAATAGTCTTCATGCAAGAGACTAAATATTTTTGAAAAAAACTTGTAACAGCAACGATAACAATTTTTCTATTGACTTTAAGTCAAATAGGAATGAGAGTGCAAGCAAATCGTAAAACAAAGATAAGTATATTCGTGTTTGCACGCGCTAGAAATAAAAACACAAGTCACCCGAAAACCAGCCCGGCTCGTAGGTATACACGTATACCATAAATATTAATTTGTAAATTAAAATAAATCACGATAACTCGGGTGAGGTCATCGTTGCGAGCTTTACCGACTCATTTAATTAATACCTACCGCACGAAGAACCCAAACGCCAAGAAGTTGTTTTGGCTGTGCGTGCATAAGTACACGCGGTGGTCCCGAAAGACCCGCTCGCGCAACAGGAAAATTATACTCAAACTTGGATGTATTTCCTCTTTCGTTTGTGCTTAGCATAACAACCGTGGCACACTCGATATATACGTATATTGTTTGTTTATTTCCTGTATACCATTGTAATCGATCAAATCAAGTATCCTAACTTTTTTTTTCTTTTTTTTTCTTTTTTTTTCTTTTTTTTTTTTTTTTTCAATGCACTGCTTACGTTACATTACGATGCGTATATGTCAAAGTACAAAAAGGAGCTTGGTGTTTCTCACGCGTGCACTAATTGGGTGGATGTCAAGTCGGACGGGCGGAGAAAGGGAGGGACCCCCGATGTCGAAATAAGAAATCCGATTCCCGAAATACGCACGTGAAAACCAGAGCGACGCACAGAAAAAAAACAAAAAACAAAAAAAAAAGGCCACTCACAACTTTCACTCGTTCTCGTGAAAATTATCATTTTTTCGAAACATATCTCTCTTCGTCACGTGTCGATTCTGCATCCATCATCTCAAAGTTAAAAAAAAAAAAAAAAAATAATAAATAAAAGTAAATAAACTGGCGAAGGTCGTTCCGGGTGTACAGGTATGTATACACACAGCCGCATAATGTGGTCGTGCGTACCTATTCTGTACTTATATAAATATAATGTACACACGCGAGAAATTCATGGAGGCCGTAAATGTATGTATATCCCTCTCGGAGATGAGAGTCCGAGATATGTACGAATTTACGGCCAGATCCGTACAAAAGCTTAAAGTCTCAAGGTCTCCTAGGAAATTTGATAATCTCTATATTGGTATACCTGTTAATCGCTCTCGGACATTAGGTAAGAAAAAAACAATAGACTATTTCTAAAAAATTGTGGTTAAATTTGTCCAAGGTGTAAAATCAAAGGGCTGGCGAGATGGGATTAAACGAACATCGTACAAGTGGGTGGAAAAGAAAAGACGCGACGCAGGTGTCCGCGGAGAGTATGTTATACGGGTATGAGCGCGAGTGACAGAGCCGTATTTGGCCGAAAGGCTCGAGGCAATCGAGCTTTCGTGCGGCCGCACGTTACACCAATAGTCGGTGTGTACGTGGGCGAACGAGAATCGAGTCATCGGGTTGTACATACGCATTATCAAGTATATATATCCGCCGTCTCTCCCACCTTCGCTCTTCTCTGGAGAGGAAAAATGCAGCTAACGCTTGTTGTACGGTGGCTCTTTTAGTGGCTGAAATCGCAAGCGAGTACTTTTGCTTTTTTTCATACTCTCTTCGGCATACCACATGGACGTGCGAACAGAGAGCGTGTCTTTTAAAAAGCTTTGATTTCGCCTGATCCCTGCACTCCCGCTTGATTTACAGGCATATGTATAATTATATAAGCTTATGCTGCTGGCTTATGTTGTGCCCATCGCTTTTAGACCCTCTCTGCTATAAAAGCCTTTTTTTTTTTTTTTTTAAAGCGCCTGTTTTATTTCACGAGATTTTGCTTAATTGCGGACGTGCGCGACTTTTTTCCTTTTGAACTTGGATGTGTGTGTTGATAACAACAGCGACGGTGCTGCTTATGCAATCCTAGGGAGCGAGGCTCTCTATGGCGGAAAAAACTCGGCAGAGAGGAAGCGAGGAAGAAAAAAAAAAAAAAAAAAGAAATTAAAGCAGTTTAATGATGAGAACTCCTCCTCGCCGTACGCGCTGCAATTTACATGCGATTACGAGCGTGTATCGTGTAACCACCTCTGAGATCTCGCCGAGATAAATCGCACGTTTCGGATTTTTGGGCTCTATTGGAGAGAATTTTTTTTTTTTAAGGTCAGAAATACAACTAGGCTCCGTCTACTAAACGATTGAGTAGATGTATATATTTGTCGATGATCTGTTGTCGCGATCGTTGTACAAAGTCGATCAGGTGAAGTAAATGCGTGTATCGCTCGGACAAATTATCATCCATCTCTCTCGGGATGGAATATATTAATACCTTGACGAATGTTTATTTCATACGAAGAATTTACAATATACAATTTTAATAATAAACGTACGCGTAGGTATACCCACCACAATTTTTACATGACACCGACATAAGGTAACGATTTTTTAACGACTTTGAGTTATACCGCGATTCAAATGAACATTTTACGAGCAATCTGCCTTATCAAGATCCGTATACGAGTTGGTATTGTTTTTTTTTTTTTTTTTTTTTTTTTAATTACGAGAAAAAACATTTACTCGATGGGGGAAAGAAAAAAAANAAGTATCGCTGTATCGCTGGTGTATTGTTTTTTTTTTTTTTTTTTTTTTTATCGCGAACAATTTAAATAGTTTTTTTAATGCCTTCCACGATAAAATTACCAGTCACGTTTATTTATACAATACTCGGATTTCGTCAATACCGACGAGTTTTTGTATGTTGTATAAGTACCTCATTGTTATGATTTTGCATTGGCCCGATTTGCAAAAGCTTGGCAAGTATAATAAGGCGCCAGTAGCGGGTCACCAGAGATCATTTCACGCTATCTCTTGCTCGTCCTCCGTTGCATTGAACGATAAACCATACGAAGCGTACATGGTGCATCGGCTTCTCACTGGCGCAGAGCATTTAAAACCGAAACTCCAAATGCGCTTACGAATGTGAAAGTTGAATAAATTGGGGAAAAAAGAAGAAACCCCTTCCGAGGATGGACCTCGAAACGTAAAAAAAAAAAGCGCGTCGTAATTATTGTCTCGCTCCAAATTAGTCAATCGGACACGTCGTCGACGTACACGACACATGGTATTTAATTAAACCGAGATCTCGGGGCACGGAATAATTTATCCAAGAGCGAGATCTCAAAAAAGGGAATCGGCCGTCGAGCCTTGGGTTTTTACCGATCTCGCGCAAGCTCGCCGATAAGGGCAGCCAGCCGAGGCCTTCCACCCCCTTTTTTTTTCGTTTTTTCCGATTTAACTGCTGGTTGTTCATTCCGGGTCAAGGACTGCCGGCAGACCGGGCCGAGACGGGGCTGCTCGCTCATCCACCGAGCCGGACTTTTCTCGCGATCGGCCCAGCCAAAAAGCAAAAACAACGGGCACATTGGTTGGTACACGGAGTGTCACTTTTAAAAGCAAAGATTACGTCAGAGTGTGTGCACCGGGTATACGTCATGTTGTTGCTCTTGTTGTTCTCTTCCTCTTTTTCGCATGGGCAATAAGTCATGTACCTACATATGAGTCGTGTACGGGCCAACCGGTTGCGTGCCTATATACCTACCTGTAGGTGAGCACCCATATCCCACCTTTTCTCTCTCTCTGTTCTCGACCTCGGTTTCGCCTTCGCTCGGTGATGCCCGAGCGTGAAAATAAGAGGCACTTGCGCGCACACGTAAGAGAGACACAGTGAGTACACAATGCACAGAGCCAAAAGAAAGAGGAGGAGGAGGAGATGGTGGTGGGTGGAAGAGAGAGAGGGAGCAACATCCCACGCAGGCAAAAAGTAGGCGAGCGCGTGTGCTATAGCGAGAAGCGCGAGCGAGAGAGAAAATCGGCTGTGGAGCGCAATGAGCGAACGGGAAACCGGCGGAGGCGCTCCTTTTCTACATACGCTTCTCTTCGCCGAGCATTGGCGTATAGGAGGAACCAGCTCGTTTTTCCAGTCCCAGCGCAGCGCTCGGCTCGCCAGTCTGCTACCGGCGCTCAAACTCACCGGTCGCGCACGAACGACTTTTTTTTTTTTTTCATTCCCGCACTATCGTCGTAAAGAGGTACACTCGGTAAACCCACGAAGCGCCGCGCGTTCCTCTGTCTTTGGTTGTAATCGTCCGATCTGCCGATAAAGGAGGGAAAAATCGAAAAACAAAGGGACATGCGACCGATCGGCTGCTGATCGGCAAACGCATATCACACGCACACACCCGTTGAAATGCCGATCAAGAAGAAAGAGAGGGCCTCGAGCGGCCGCAAAAACAGCAGCCGCAGCGGCAGCTCCTCGACGGAGGTCAAAACGAGCAGCAGTACCGAGCAGGTGATACACACGCACGAGGAATCGGTAAGCAAGGCCAAGTACCAGCAAGAGTCGCAGCGCACGATCGAGACGGAGAAGAGGGAGCGCGTCCTGATGGACAGCCACGGCAACGTGATCCAAGTCCAGCCGATCGGCCCCGCGAGCACCAACCCCAAGCTCGAGCAGCTCGATTTTCTCGCGGCGGAGCTCATCAATTCGGCAAACTCCCTGACGACCGGCAAAAACGGCACCGCCAACGCGCCACCGGTCGTGCACAAGAACGTGGCGTACGAGAGCGAGGACTCGCCAAACTCGAGCAAAGTCACGGTCCACAGGGAAGAACTCGCGACAACCGGCAACTCAGCCGATTTCTCGACCAGCTACATGATGGCCCACACCGAGACTTGGGACAGCACCGGGACCAACAACGACAAGCAGCAGCAGCAGCAACGAGTCGTCCCAAAGAGCGAGTCGCTCGAGGTGCAGGACGTGACCGATTGCGCGGACGTGGGGCAAACCACCACCAGCAGTACCGGCTCGTCGTACGTCGTCGAGTACGAGAGCAAAACGACGACGGTCGAAGACTCTGGCTACGGGTCGTCGATCGGCAAGCCCGCGCCCAAAAAGCCCGGCGTCTCGGCCTGGGACGGTACCTTTGTGTACGAGAAGCCGGTCAGGCGGGTGGAGCAAAGATCCGGCACCGTGGACATACGCGAGGTCACCGAGGACACCAGCGAGACGGACCACGGCGTCAGCTACACCGTCCAGCTGGCCTCGAGCGGCCACGATCTCGCCAACACGTCCAAGACGACCACCAAGGAGCAGCACCAGCAGAGCTTTGTGTCAGACAGGCCCCAAGCCGTGACCACTACCACCTATCAGGTCGGGAGCAACGATCTGGGCGGGGGCCTCATCGAGGAGACGGTCATCAGACACGAGATCACCGAGACGCACTCGAGTGGCCCGCCGAGGTATCCCACCTGGGAAACGATCGTCAACGTGAACGGTAGCACCGGAAAGACCGAGGAATCGGTAGTGGTGCACGAGATCACGGGCAACAGGTCGAGAAGCCCCTCGAAGACGAGGTTCCCTACGAGTAACACCTCCTCGTGGGACCGCACTTTCGTCACCGAGATGACCCGCGACGCGACGAAGAAGGACGTGGTGTTGGAGTCTGGCAAGCCAAAGACCAGCTCGACCCAGAAGACGACGATGGACCGTGGTATCAATCTCGCCAACGTGTCCTCGTCGAAGACGACCTCCAAGGAAGAGAGCTTCGTGCGCGAGAGTAGCGTCGAGCGGATCGAGGAGACGCGCGTATGGCGCGAGGGCAGCTCCGACCGGCCCCAAGCAGTGACGACGACCTCGTACCAGGTCGACCTGGGCGGGGGCCTGATCGAGGAGACGGTCATAAGACGCGAGATCACCGAGACGAGGTCCGAGAGCCCGGAGAGGACGTACCAGCCGAGCTCGGCCACTTCCACGTGGGACGGGGCCTTTGTGAGCAATTACGAGTACGTGGTGCCACCCGTGGCCCCGGGCTCTCTGATCGAGGAGACGGTGGTCAGGCACGAGATCACCGAGACCCACTCGAGTGGCCCACCCCAGCTACGGTACCCCGACACCGGGAAGATCGAGGAATCGGTAGTGGTGCACGAGATCACGGGCAGCAGATCCAGAAGCCCCTCGAAGACGAGGTTCCCCACGAGCACCACCTCCTCGTGGGACGGGACCTTCGTCTCGGAGATGTCCCACGACGCGACGCAGAGGGACGTGGTGATAGAGTCCAGCAAGATGAAGACCACCTCCAGCGACGGCTCGTTCATCTACGGGCCCCAGCAGCCGGTCGCCGACGAGAGCCTGTACATCACGACGCTCACGCTGGACGAGGTTGACCACGTGGGCAAGGATGTGGTCGAGACAACGGCGTCCCACCGCTTCGACGCGTCTGGCCTGAGGGACGCGACCACCAAGAAGCGCAAGGAGATCGAGATCGTCATCGTGGACGCACCACCGACGCCGAGACCGAGGTCGCCCCAGAAGACGACGAGTACTAAAATGAACTCCTCGACGTGGGACGGCTCGTTCGTAATGGAGAGCCCGCGTGGGCCAAAGCCCGTCGTCAAACCTAGCGAGGACAAGGTGTTGACGAGTACCGTGACTTACGACGCGGAGGACCGGCTGTTTGGATCCGAGAGGCTGCACGAGTCCCTGACCATCAACGAGAGCTACTTGACCGTCACGGACTTTACCAGCGTGGGCCAGCAGGAGACCCGCACGGACGAGTTTATCGCGGCGGAGATCGTAAGTGCTGAAGGCGACGATTTTCTTTCTCCCCATTGTCTCTCTCTCTCTCTCTCTCTACGTCCATTCGACCTCGACGCGTATTCATATACCGATGATGACCGAAAAAACGCATTTTGCGCGTCGTTATCGGGCCTCGAAAATTTATCACGCTTTTTACTTTGATTGCAATCATCCGTGCATTTAGAATTCTGCCAATTTGGTGCCGTCATCGCAATTCACGGTATTGGGGGCACTCGAGAAATTTCAACCACCCACTTTTTTTTCGATAACGAAAGCAATCAAAAAGCAATATTTTACAAGTCTAATATACACGCGCTGCCTCGCGCCAATATCTCTCTCTCTCTCTCTCTGTGTATGAGTAGCTTTCGATAAGAGTCGCCGTCACCTGATTAGCATGTAACACGCATATAGTGTACAATTAATGTGTAACTTACAGCTCGAATTCTACGAATTTTCGTCAACGCCTATAAATAGTGACATGAGGTTTCGAGTGTTTGTATACTTGATTGACACGGAGGAATCAGTGCATTGGTAATATTGTTTTGTTTTTTTTTTTTTTTTTTTTTTTTTTTCCGATGCCGGTCCCTGTACAGCGTTTATAAAGAGAATAGGTGGAACGATTACAACACGATTACGTTGCTTTATGCCGGAAAACAGCGCGTGTTCGCAACAATAGACATGTATAATGTGTATGAATGTGTGTGCGCATATGTACATTAGGTATCCTCACCTGCACGGCGAGGTACACGCAAACAGAGCTCGTTTACCCGTCGTATAATAGTGTGTGTGTGTGTGTGTTGGGTGTAAACACGTGTAACCCAATTATGAGCCTCGCACGCGTTCAGTGTTAATACGGGGGGGTACGAGAAGAGAGCTTTGCAAGCTCGCGTCATAGAGTGTGTATGGATCAAGGCGCCTGATTTATTTGGGCCGATCGTATTTTTTTCTTCTCTCCAAGTCAACATCGGCAGGGACTTGCGTAAGAGCGGCCTTGCGCCTATGCGTGACACACTAACTCTTCCTCGGATGCTGTTGCGAATGTCAAATCTTTTTTTTTCTTTTTTTTCTCGTCTCTGTCGATCGCGAGTTTTCCCTTTTGCGCTCGATCGGTGAATCACGAGGAGAGGCTCGATTTATTTGCCTTTCCGAGCGCCCGCAATGTACCTACGTATATCGAGCACTGAATCAAACATGAGGACCGGAGACCCCTTCTTTTTTTTTCCTCCGTAGGAGTCAAGGCCCCCTTTTTAGTCCCTCGACACGATCTCGCTGACGCTTAATTCTTCAAGCGCACGATTCTCACGTTGGAAAATGCACGTATTTTTCCTCCCTCTCCAATCAAAGTTGGATTTTACCTTTAGAGGAAAAAAAAAAAAAAAAAAAAAATTCATAGTAAGGATGATTTTTTATTTTTTCTTTCCTGAAACAGCGAAATGTTGATGAAACTGAGACGACGACAACTAGCATGGTAGCGCAAGATGTGGCCAGCAGCGAGAGCCAGTTCGTCGAGCAAATCAGCGTGTCGAGCGTGCCGGCCGCGGGTTCGCCTACGCGATCCTCACCCGAGAGACAAGTGCGGCCCATACCCTTCCTGCGGGAGGACACCAAGACGACCGTCACCTCGACCAAAACAACCAAAGATGAGTCGCTCAAGAGACGGTAAATATAAGCTTGAAAAAAAAAAAAAAACAAGAGAATCGGTATACAGAGCGCGAGTTTATGCAAATGGAAACTAACGGTTTTCACGGGTGTAGGTCGTCGAACGCAAAAATCACCTCGACATTGCTGGAAAGCACGGATGGGTCCAAGTGGCAGCCGGACGCTGTGTCCACGCCAAAGGAAAAGATCCCGAAAAAAACCGATACCGAGCTCGCCAAGCTACCGATCACGGAGCGATGCATCTGCGAACTGTGCACTTGCGGGTACGCGAGCAATCGCTTCTTTTACAATTTTCGGGAGTAAAAAATCACCCGTCACTCGTTAAAATCGAGTTTTTGCCTTTGCTCCGCTTTAGGCGTCACCGCTGTCCGCACAACGATTTCCAGGAACATCTGGAGATCTCTCACGAACCAGCCGTCTCGGTGACTTCGTACAGGGAAGAATACGACGAGAAGCACGTAGATCGGCAGAGCAGATTCTACCACGAGGACCACTTGCACATGGAGGGCGAGTTCATCGGCGAGCGTCGCACTGACTACGTGGCGACCAAGGGCGAACGCGTTTTTGTCACAAAGCCGCAGGACAACCTCAAGCCGGAGGGAGAATTCGAAAGTGCGTTTTTCATCCAAACTTGAAAATTCGTGGTTGATACTTTGTTTTTACTACAACGAGGTCTCCGGTAACTATTTTTTTGTTTTTCAGGCATAACGACAACAGAGCTGGTGTTCACCGGTGCCCCCGGCGAAAGACCAAGAGCTGGCCGTCGCAACACTTACACAAAGATCGAGGGCGAGTTCACGGACGAGACGACCACTAGGACGGAGTTTGTCGACCACCACACCGTCCAGAGATCCGAAATCATTCGGAGATCCGATAATCTTGTCACGGGGGAGGGCGAATTTGTGGTGAGTCCTGGTGAAATTTCGGAAACTTTGAGTATATCCATATAGGCACGAAAATAAGTGTACAACCGATGATTGAACTTTCAGAGTACCTCGCACGTCAAAGAAGATTATCATCCACACGAGATAGTGCCGCAAAAGCCAATAATACCAATGGACGTGGACGACAGTCATTTTTACGAAAAGACGGACGTGCAGCAGTCGACGACGACCTTCGAGGAGTACCGCGAGTACGAGCACAAGGACATGGTGGACTCTCGCTCGACGATAACGAGGCAGGAGGACAACCTGAAAATGGAGGGCGAAATCGAGACAGTGTCGAAAACTCAAACGGACTTTGTTCCCATGCTGACGGAGAGGCCGGAGCCCATCAGGCCAAGGGACAATCTGAAGCCGGAGGGGCCGTTCGAGGGCCGCCCGAAGGACGATTACACGGTCGTTCGTGGCGAGCGCGTCGACGTGATCAAGCGCACCGACAATCTGCACATGGAGGGTGAGTTCACCGACACCCGCACTCGGGACGACTACCAAGTGTTCAAGAGCGAGCGTGTCGACATCATAAGGCACACGGACAACTTGATCATCGAGGGAGAGTTCGAGGGTAGGCCGAAGGACGACTACGTGCTGAAAACCGCGGAAAAGCCAATAGTCAAGAAGCCGAAGGACAATTTGAAGCCGGAGGGCGATTTCGAGAGGCCGGAGAAGCCGGCCCCGGTTCAGCCGGTTGAGAGACGTTCACCCATCAAGCACGCGGACAATCTTAAGCCGGAGGGTGATTTTGAAAGGCCAGAGAAGCCGGCACCGGTGCAACCCTTCGAGAGACGCTCACCTATCAAGCACGCGGATAATCTCAAGCCCGAGGGTGAGTTCGAGAAGCGGCCAAAACCTGAGGCACCGGTAAAGGGCGAGAAAGCCGAGGTTAAGCGTCCCCATGACAACTTGAAGCCTGAAGGTGAATTTGAGCGTCCGATACCCCAAGAATTTAAACCAGCCGAGAGACCAGTGCAGAAGAAGCCAAAGGACAATCTCCATCCGGAAGGTGAATTTGAACGTCCAACGCCCAAAGAGTTCAAACCTGCTGAGAGACCAGTTCAAAAGAAGCCTAAGGACAATCTCCATCCGGAAGGTGACTTTGAACGTCCGATACCCCAAGAGTTTAAACCAGCTGAGAGACCAGTGCAGAAGAAGCCCAAGGACAATCTCCATCCGGAAGGTGACTTTGAACGTCCGATACCCCAAGAGTTTAAACCAGCTGAGAGACCAGTGCAGAAGAAGCCCAAGGACAATCTCCATCCGGAAGGTGACTTTGAACGTCCAACGCCCAAAGAGTTCAGACCAGCCGAGAGACCAGTGCAGAAAAAGCCAAAGGACAATCTTCATCCGGAAGGTGACTTTGAACGTCCGATACCCCAAGAGTTTAAGCCAGCTGAGAGACCAGTGCAGAAGAAGCCCAAGGACAATCTCCATCCGGAAGGTGACTTTGAACGTCCAACGCCTAAAGAGTTCAAACCTGCTGAGAGACCAGTTCAGAAGAAGCCCAAGGACAATCTCCATCCGGAAGGTGACTTTGAACGTCCAACGCCCAAAGAGTTCAAACCTGCTGAGAGACCAGTTCAAAAGAAGCCTAAGGACAATCTTAAGCCAGAAGGAGAGTTTGAAAAGCGACCTAAGGAAAAGGCCCCGACAAAGGGTGAGAGAGCCGATATCAAGAAGCCGAAGGATAACTTGCGACCAGAAGGAGAATTCGAGCGCCCCGAGAAAGTTCCATATGGTCCAGGGGAGCGAAGATCCCCAATAAAACAAGTGGACAATCTAAAGCCCGAGGGCGAGTTTGAAAGACCAAAGCCCTCTGAGTTCAAGCCGGCTGAAAGACCAAAGCAAAAGAAGCCCAAGGATAACCTCAAACCGGAGGGTGAATTCGAAAGGCGCCCGAAAGAAAAAGCTCCAACAAAAGGTGACAGAGCCGAGGTTAAAAAGCCAAAGGACAATCTTAAGCCAGAGGGTCCGTTCGAAGGTCGTCCCAAAGATGATTATAAGCCGGTAAGAGGTGAACGAGTTGATATCGTCAAGCACGAGGATAACTTATTCATGGAAGGTGACATGCAGGTCATCACATCTCGAGACGACTACACTGATTTTGTTGTTCGCGAGCGCGCTGAAGTCACCAGATATCAAGATAATCTTTTCATGGAAGGCGAGTTTATCGATATGCGCACACGAGACGATTACAAAGTCGTTAAAGGCGAAAGAGTGGAGATAATCAAACACGAAGATAATCTACGTCTGGAGGGTCCGTTTGAGGGCAGGCCGAAAGATGACTTTACACCCAAGATAGCAGAAAGGCCTCAAATCAAAAAACCTGAGGACAATCTACGCCCAGAGGGTGAATTTGAGAGGCCAGAAAAATCTCCGGTCGGTCCAGCTGAAAGGCGGACTCCAATCAAACACAATGACAATTTGCGTCCCGAAGGAGACTTTGAGAGACCAGTTCCCCAGGAGTATAGGCCGGCAGAGAGACCGGTGCAGGTCATACCTCAAGATAATCTACGTCCGGAAGGCGACTTTGAAAAACGTCCTGTTAAAAAGGCACCTACAAAGGGAGAAAGAGCTGACATTAAAAAGCCCCAGGATAACCTACGACCAGAGGGAGAATTTGTGAGGCCTGAAAAGACACCAGTTGCCCCGGCTGAGAGACGCTCACCCATCAAGCACGAAGACAATCTCCGCCCTGAAGGAGATTTCGACCGACCAACTCCTAAAGAATTCAAGCCAGCCGAGAGACCTACTCAGAAGAAGCCAAAAGACAACCTCAAACCCGAAGGTGATTTCGAAAGGCCCAAAAAGGCACCTGTTAGTCTAGCTGAGAGACGTTCGCCCATTAAGCACGAAGACAACTTACGCCCAGAGGGAGAATTTGAGCGTCCCGCTCCGAAAGAGTTCAAACCGGCCGAAAGACCGGTGCAGAAGAAACCCAAGGATAACCTCAAACCTGAAGGTGAGTTTGAAAAACGTCCGAAAGAAAAAGCTCCAACAAAGGGTGAACGAGCTGAGGTCAAGAAGCCAAAAGATAACCTCAAACCTGAGGGACAATTTGAAAGGCCCGAAAAGGCACCTGTCGGTCCAGCTGAGAGACGCTCACCCATCAAGCACGAAGACAATCTCCGCCCTGAAGGAGATTTCGAAAGACCTGTTCCAAAAGAGTTCAAGCCGGCTGAAAGACCGGTACAAAAGAAACCCAAGGATAACCTAAAACCTGAAGGTGAGTTTGAAAAACGCCCGAAAGAAAAGGCACCCATGAGGGGTGAAAGAGCCGAAATCGTCAAGCACGTCGATAATTTACACATGGAAGGAGACATGGAAGTTATTACATCGAAAAATGATTACACCGATTTTGTCATTCGGGAACGTACTGAGATAACAAAGTACGAGGACAACTTGAAAATGGAGGGCGAATTCATCGATATGTGCACCCGAGACGATTACAAAGTTGTCAGAAGCGAACGAGTGGATATCATTAAACACGAAGACAACTTGCGCCCAGAGGGGGAATTTGATAGACCAGAAAAAAGACACGTTGGTCCAGCTGAGAGAAGAGTACCAATTAAACATGAAGACAATTTGCGCCCAGAGGGAGAATTTGATAGACCTGTTCCAAAAGAGTTCAAGCCGGCTGAAAGACCGGTACAGAAGAAACCCAAAGATAACCTTAAACCTGAAGGTGAGTTTGAAAAACGCCCGAAAGAAAAGGCACCCATGAGGGGTGAAAGAGCCGAAATCGTCAAGCACGTCGATAATTTACACATGGAAGGTGACATCCAAGTTATAACATCGAGAAACGATTACACCGATTTTGTGATCCGTGAACGCACCGAAGTCACAAAGTATGAAGACAACTTGAAAATGGAGGGCGAATTCATTGACATGCGCACGCGAGACGATTATAAAATAGTCAAATGCGATCGTGTGGATATCATCAAACACGAGGACAACTTGCGCCCAGAGGGAGATTTTGAGCGACCAGCACCTAAGGAATTCAAGCCAGCCGAGAGACCGACACAGAAAAAGCCAAAAGATAACCTCAAACCCGAGGGTGAATTTGAAAAGCGGCCTAAAGAAAAGGCACCCACAAAAGGCGACAGAGCCGAGGTTAAAAAACCTAAGGACAACCTCAAACCCGAGGGTGATTTTGAAAGGCCAGAAAAGTATCCAGTTGGTCCCGGTGAGCGCCGCTCACCCATAAAACATCCTGACAATCTGAGACCCGAAGGAGACTTTGAAAAACGCAAGCCGGAACAGTTTAAGCCGGCTGAGAGACCGGTACAGAAGAAACCTAAAGACAACCTAAAGTCCGAAGGTGAATTCGAAAGGCGCCCGAAAGAAAAAGCTCCGACGAAGGGTGAACGAGCCGAGGTCAAGAAGCCAAAGGACAATCTTAAGCCAGAGGGTCCGTTCGAAGGTCGCCCCAGAGATGACTACAAGCTGGTCAGGGGAGAGCGAGTCGACGTCGTCAAGCGCACCGACAACCTCCACATGGAGGGCGAGTTCACCGACACCCGCACCCGAGATGATTACAAAAAGTACGTCGTGTGCGAGCGCGCCAAGGTGACCAAGTACCAGGACAACCTCCACGTCGAGGGCGAGTTCACCGACACTCGAACTCGGGACGATTACAAGATCGTCAAGGGGGAAAGAGTCGAAGTGGTCAGGCACGAGGACAACTTGCGAATCGAGGGGACGTTCGAGAGGCCGGAAAAGTCCCCGGTCGGCCCAGCCGAGAAGCGTCTGCCCATTCGGCACACGGACAACTTGAGGCTCGAGGGCGACTTTGAGAAGCGCCAGTCGCACCAGTACAAGCCAGCCGAGCGCGCCGTCCCGAAGAAGCCCCAGGATAACCTGCACCCCGAAGGGGAATTCGAGAGGCGCCCCAAGGAAAAAGCCCCAACGAAGGGCGACAGGGCCGAGGTCAAGCGACCCAAAGACAACCTCCGCACGGAGGGCAAGATGGACATCCCGAAACGATCCAGCGTCGGACCCGGCGAGCGCCGCTCTCCCATCAAACACCCCGACAACCTAAAGCCCGAGGGCGACTTTGAGAGACCAGCGAGCAGGGAGTACAGGCCCAGCCAGAGACCAGCCCCGATCCTGCCCCACGACAACTTGCACCCGGAGGGCGAGTTCGAGCGCCGGCCCAAGGAGAAGTCGCCCCCGAAGGGCGAGCGCGCCGAGATGAAGAGGCCACAGGACAACCTAAGACCCGAGGGTAAGCTCGAAGTGCCGCAAAAGTCGAGCCCCGGCCAAGTGCCCATCGAGAGACGCAGCCTCATCAAGCAGACGGACAACTTGAGGGTAGCCGAGAGCGAGTTCGCGAAAAAAACCAGCCACCACCAGAAGAAACAGGAGGTCGACAGGACGACGACGGAGAGGACGGAAAAGCGGCGGGTGATACAGCGCTCGGATCTGAAGAACGAGACCGAGTTCGAGAAGACGCTTCGCGTGGAGCAACCCAGCCCCAAGAGGCCCGAGGGCGAGCTGCGCACCGTTAGCTCGACGATGAGCGATTACCAGCGGGTCGACGGCGAGCACCACCGTGCCCAGGCCTACCGACGGGAGGACCACCTGCGCATGGAGGGCCACGTGGAGACCCGTCGCTCGAGCGACGACTACAAGCACCAGCAGCTCAGGAACGTGGATAAGGTGCAATCCTACCGACACCAGGACAACCTACGCATGGAGGGTGAGTTCGACGGACGCAGACGGGACTCGGAGTACACTCGGAGCACCGAGCGCAGAAGCCCCATCAAGCACCAGGACAACCTACGCCTGGGCGGCAGCTTCGACGGCCAGAGCAGCATGAAGACGTCCTACACGACCGTGTCCCAGGACGAGGAGATCCGCAAGTCCCACAGCACCACGAGGACGTCGATGACGGTCCAGGGACCGGGTATACTGGCCGGCAGACAGGAGAACAACGCGAGGAGCTCCGATTCCTCCAAGTACCAGCAGCAGGTGATGGTCGTCGGCGGGGACAGCGGCAACAGGGTGGCCTCGCCCACCAGGACCCGGTGGAACGTGGTCACCTCGACCACGGACATAAGCAACACGGCCCTGCACCGGCGCATCGCCAGCGCTGAGCGCAACGACACCAGCCACCAGAGCAGTTTGAGCAAGCGGGTGGTCGAGGGGGGCGGCAACCCATACGCCTCGTCGAGCTACGAGCGGGAGCAGCGGGTGGTGCGGTCGCCCCCGCGGGACAGCCTAGCGGTCGGGGGCTCGTTCTACCACGCGACGGAGGCGCGCAGCAGCTACGGGAAGCGGGAGGTCCAGAGGGTGGACAGGTCGCGCAGGCAGGCCAACGTGTCGCGCATAAGCTTGGGGGACGAGGGTGGCCACGGGTTGACGGGTGGGTCGTCGTATCGGAAGGAGTACGCGGAGAAGGTGCCCAGGGGACCTTGTCCGGCATCACTGCTCCAGGCGGACAAGGCACCGTTCAAACTGACGCGCGACACTCCGCGCCACAAGTTCTACATACCCGTCGTACAAAGCAATTAACCACCACCCCCCTCACGCGGCCACTTTTTTACATTGCCATCGATTACTATTTTTTTTTTTTTACTTACATATTGCTATTTTGTTCGTGGATCGTCGGTGTACCCGTAGATGGTCCAGACTGTGATAATTGTGTTGCGTGAACGGAGACGACAGCCCATTCTTCTTCTTCTTCTTTTGGACTAAATTTCGTTTCCTTTTGGTTTTTTCGATAAAATACACGCCCCGTTGAGATTATTACTCCATGAAAAATAAATTAAACAGGTTCAAGTCGTCTTGTGCTGCCACAAATGAATGAATATACTCATTACGTACAGAAATATGAAAATAATCAATAACAAAAAAAAAAAAAAAAAAAAAAAAAAAAAAACCGAATGATGACGAATCTCTGTGAATCTCTCGTTCATACATATTGTACAAGAAAGCACACGAAAACTGAAAACTCTGCTCCATTATGATTTACTTATTTTTTGCAAGCTTACGCCGCACGAAACTTTTAGTTACGGTCACGCTTGAGATATTTTTTTTTTTCTCTCATACATGATACATTGCAATGTAAAATCATTATTATACTTGAAGGAGAAAATTTATACGAGCATTTTAATATATTACCATTATTTTATGTATACTATCCTCACATTATTATTGTTTTATTTAAGCACATATATGTATTATTGTGTATGTACATGTTACATCGTACACGTTGCCATATATATTATCAAAAGGACTATACACGTATATATGCTATTTTTATACATACATAAATATATATGTATGACCAACCACTTGAAGATTTATTATTTGACGATGTACTATTTTTATATTACTTCGTTTTTTGAAAATTATTTTTAATAAATTTTACCTACCCCTAATATTTCATTTACCTTAAAACTATCATCCCTAATATATATATATTATCCATGTATATTTATTAACCTCGTTGCAATAAACGTTGCTTTATTACACATATATTTTACTTTGGTTTTGTATCTTTACATACGCACCTTTTTTTCCTTCATCTTTATTTTACTTTGTGCAATTCAAGTGCTCACACACCCACACAGCTACATGTTTAATACATATATACATATCGTATGATGTAAGTGCCGCAGTGTAAGATGAAAATTTTACTGAAAAGCTAAGTTGAATATTTTTTGGACATAGTTATATTAATGAACTTTAGCTAACTATGTACGGTTGAAAGAAAAAAAAAAAAAAAAAAACACTTGCGTTTTTTCATTCTTAAATGATGAGAGCTCTCAAGTGTTGTTGGCTATTTTTGGAATGACAAATCTCTGGTGCGTATATCTCTGAGTATATGTTTGCCGTCGAGAAAATGTGTGTACAATAAAGAAAAAGACAAAATGGTAGTTTTTCTACGAGTTTGAAAAGTCTTTGTTTGCGAACCGAGAGGTTTGCGGCCCGAGCCGAAGGTGAGGGACGTAACGAGGTTCGTAAAGGAGACTTTTAAAACGAGTTCCGGAAAACTGCTTTTTCGCCCGAGGAAGTACCAGCCTCCCAAAACCACCCGAGGGCGGAAAAATTATAAAATAATGTATTTTGTCGTATTTTTCATAAACTCGGCGCGTAAAAATTATTTTCATGATTAAACAAAATTTTTTTGAGGAAAACTACAGTACAAATTTTCGCTCATGTTTCACATGAATAATAAAAACAAAATAAACAAAAATTATTTTCTGCTCTCATGTATTTTAGAAGTGATTTAGAAAGTGTACTTATGCATAAAAAATAAATTTTATGAAAAAACGGACACCCTAATATAGATAGTATGTACATGTGTGAATAGTAAAATGAACATAAATTTCTTAAAATGTTTATAACATGATGCGTTTGAAAAATATTTCGCTAGCCTCAGCGAACATAAAACCAAACGATTCACGCAGCCAATCTTTCTTTCAAAGAGTCCGTGCAAGGGAAAGAGATAAAAAGTGTACACCTAGACTATATATACTTCATCTCGGCCAAAAAAGGACTTGTCTGTGGTGCGGATAAATCATCAAGGTGCGGTTTACCGGAATACAGTTACAAAATTTGAGAACCAAATAGGTACATACAACCACAGAAAATAAAAAATACCGAAATTCCATTATGTCGATAGTAAAAAAATGACAAAAAAGCATAAATTTTTATATTATACTTTTACAGTATTTTTTTTTTACTAGTTATATAGTAACAAATGTAAGTACCGTTGATATGTGTAAATACGTCATGTAAACTAGATTTAAAAAAAATAATAATAAATAAATAATTTTGCAAAAAAATCGCAACTATTGTATCATCAGTTACGTAACAATCAAATCGCTTGAGTAGTAAATTTCCTCGCAAAAACAATCGATCAATCTGGTAAAAATATTGACAGAGACAAACACATGTTATCATCTAACCTCTCAAATTAATCTGTATAAAAGAATAAATTCTGATAACGATATCTTAAAATTATAAGCACTCTCTCTCTCTCTCTCTCTCTGGTAGTACAATTATACGAAATACCAAATCGTAAGCGTAAATACGCAACGTATACGAGGAAAAAATGAAAAATCGAAGCAGCGACGATGCGTCGATCGATGACACCACGGCTCGTCGCGGTAGTTTTCCTACTCCTCGTCTCCCATTTCCGCAGCGGCGGTTGCGCTCGTCCACGCGCGAAAAACAGGTATTCACAATGATCACCAGAGCTACCGCCGTCTCGCTCGATCCCGAAACTGAATCTCATAAGAAGCGCAAAACCTGTTTTCTCACCCATCGCTATACCATTGCTGCTTTTTTTTTTTTTTTTTAATTTGGTTGCATAATGTTGGTTCGGAAATCCAAAGGAGCGGTGACAGCGAGCTGGTGAGTAAAATGCAGATGGACGTCGAGGAGGCGGTCCAGAGGAGGATCGACGCGATCAAGAGGGACATCAAGCGCGAGATCGAGAAACGCGAGCAGGTTCGGCTGATTCGAGAAAACAATGCAAAGTACGACGAGATGAGGCGCCGAGAGAGGATACACGTTCCGATGGACGATGACGATGCAAATGGTAAGCGACGATTTGTGATGGAGGTTGTAAGTGCTGCTCGAGCCAAAGGAATTCTCGGAGAGTGTAGTTGTCGGTGCGCGGGACGATGCGGCGACAGCCGGCAATCATCGCTCGAGGCGACAAAATGTTCTGTTTCCTGTCGAAAAGTCATACTTTGCCGAATCGCGGGATAACACTCCCGAACAGCTCGTTCGCGGAAGAAGCGCCAATTGTCAACTTACGGTAATCAACTCGACGAATTAACTCTTGCTGATGTTATGTACGCGTCTTGGCGATGCTTGCGACTTTTTTTTTTTTTTTTAATTCGTACACGATAGGAAGCTTGTAGAGTCAGGTGTGGACGGAGGATGATGCGAAATCGGAGGTTCGGGAGAAAAAGGCGGCCCGCTGAGGCCAAAGACTGAACTCGCAATGACTTGGATTTCGCTGATGACGGTATTGCTTTTCCACGGGTGCCGTCGTCCGTCAACAAAAATGCCGCTCTACTGTCGAGGTACAAGAGAGTCTGAGCCACAATTCGGAGAAACAAGTACAACACTGTATTTAGATGTATTTTTTTTTTTTTTTTTTTTATTCATTATGCGATCTTTAAGAGTGTGTCTGTGTAAGTGTTTACGATTGTGTACGTATAATTTGTAAATCGACACAATTAACATTGGCTATATACAAATATTACAATTTCTTTTTAAAATGCTTAAATTTAAGTATTTTTTCCTCGATCTTTCTCGCCGTCCAGCGTATTTATTTGTTAATTTTTTTCTTTTTCTTCTCATTAAGATTTGATATTTCGATCAGTGACCTGATTTTTTTTTTTTT